AGAGCATCCATTGCTGAGACACTGATGCAATGCTACACTTGGATGACCTGAGGATGAGCACATTTTCATTTTTTGGGTGAACTATTCCTTTAATGGACTCCTAAACTGAATATTAACCTTTAAACAATCATTGATCTGCTGCTGATCAGCTTGAACAGTTCACTGCTGATTATAAAATCTTCTGCCACTGTTGGACATATGAGCACAGTTTTATGCTCCACAGATGCAGCTGTTTTGGACTCGCTCATTAGCAGGTGTCCAGGATCTCAAGATCACCACGTATAGTATGAACTCTAAACGAACTTTAATGACTGATTCGGTCTCGTGATCCAGCATTTTTAATTACACAAACTCAAAACTGACAGATAATATTATGTTGATTTATGAAGAGCCAGGCTTGAACTATTGCTTTATTTCTGCTGCGGTGGAAGAGAAGATTATCAGTGAATAATGACTTATTTGTGCTGTTTCTCATGCAGAGCATCATGCGAGCTGGAACATAGTGAGTTATGATGCTTTTTGTTCTTCTGCTCAAGTCTTCCAGTGAAGGATGATAATCGTACAGGTTTGGATCAACACAAGGGTGAGATTTTCATTGAGTTAACTGGATCTTTAAGCTTAATGCAGTGCATTTCTCCCTTGAGAATGAATGGTTTGGTAATTTATTAAAGTAATTAAAAAAAAAGTTAATTGACTTGTGAAGACTAGGTAACACAAGTTAATGATAATATCTAGGGTTATTCCCATCAACTAAACATAAAACCATTTAAATAAAAATTCATTATTTCAAAAAATGAAATAAAATAAAATATTGAAAAACCTAAACATTTTATTTCAGCTAGTTGCCAAGGCAACATTTCTCATTTCTGTTTAGTTTAAAATCTTTTTTTTTTATAAAATTAACTGAAATAAATAAAATGTACAAATATTTTTATTTAAAAATATTACTTTTAATGATAATTTAATTTAATAATAATTTAATTATTATTACATAATTATTAACATTTCCTATTAACTTGAAGGTACTAAAGGAACTAAAACTAAATACAAACTACAGCTACTAAATAACACTCTAAAAATAATTAGCAAATATATATATATATATATCTTTATTTTTATTTTTATTTTTTGCAAATTATTTTGAATATATTAGTTTTAGTTTAGATTTAGTTTTATTTTAGTTTATTTAAATGTTTAGTTTGTGTGTGTGTGTGAGAGTGAGTGAGTGTGTGAGAGTGAGTGTGTGCGCGCACTAATAAAAATTGCAAAAATACACAACAAAATTACAATACATTTTAAACACATAAAAACACATAAAACACAAAAACAAAAGATAAAAATAAAATGAAATTCAAAATATTACCAAGAAATATAATAGTCTATTTTTTTGACTCAAGATTATGCTTGAATTTTTCAAAATTTATAATCTTTAAATGAACAGATTCTCTAAAACTAAGACTAATTTGATAAAGAAAGGTTTGTTTCGTTTTAAAACCAGTGCCTTTTCTCTTGTTCACAACCATTATAGAAATGATGGATATAAATATCAGTCTGTTTGCAGATATTGCTTGAAGCAGTCAGATGATACGCCTGTTTTTTGATTACGAAACCATCAGCATTTTAATATCATATTATGAATTTATAGGATTCGAGTGTCTCATTAGAGAAAGAAAAACAACAAACAGCCTCAGTAATGATATTAATATGGTCTGCAGCTCATTAGTTTTTATTAGTTGGAGATCTCTGTGAATTTCTTCTGCAGGTTTAATCTGCTCTGCCAATGAGACGAGACACGCGCTTCAGAAATATCCTTCAACATAAACAGAAGTCAAAATGTGAAACAACTAAATTGGCTTATTGCTATTATGAAACATCTGAAAACAGTAAAATAATAATATACAAAAATGTTCGATAAATAATTTAAAAAGGTAACACTTTACAGTCAGGTTTCAGCATGAATAGATACAACTTTTGATTTTAATAATATATTAGTAAATGTTGAAATTAACATTAACCATATGTTTTATAAGTAATGTTCATTGGCTGTTCATGTTATTTAATGTATAATTATTATGATATAAATGTATTGCTTATTGTTAGTTACATAATGCATTAACTGATGTTAACAAATGTGACCTTATATCGAAAATGTTGCATTCAGATTATCATAAATAATCTGAGCATGCAATTCCTTTGTCGTGTAATGTAGTTTTTTATTAAAATTACGTGGTTTATAATATTACGAGAAGTTTGAATTGCAAGATATAAATTTAGTCATTTAGAGAAACAAATTCAGAATTGTGAGGTAAAGTTACAATTACATTTTTTTTTTTTTATTCTGTGGCACAAAACAAAACAAAAACTAATTCCTGCATATGAACTTAGAATTGCGACTCAGAATTGCGAGAAAGAAGTCAAATTTGTCAAATAAAAAAAAGTCACAATTAGCTTTAGTTATTTTTTCATTCCATGGCGGAAGCAAGCTTATAAAATGTAGCTCATCCAATCAGAACATAATTTATGTATCATATGTGACTATAAAACATTATATGATTATAAAATGTGAATTCCTTGAATCTCAATTGCTAATTAAAGTACTTATGAAGAAAATGTCTTGTGCAACTCTTCATAAAGTAAGTTGCATTGCAAAGGAATTATCTGCCAGGAAAATAAATGCAAATAAAAATAATACAAAGGCTTGTGTGTTAGTTCAGTGCTCTACAGTGATTTAACACACAGCTCTGCTGTTGTTGTTGTGTAAAATAGGCAATAAAAGCAGCAGTCCGAGAGGTATTTTTAACCCGGTCTTTGAATCTGTGCTGAACCAGGACCACCAAGAACCGTTCACTGAACCGCTGACTAAACAATCACAGCCTCACATTACCTTCCGTTTGAAAAGATGCAAATGCTTTTGGTGTTTGAAACAAATAGTTATTACATTATTTATAGTAAAGAATGGTCTCGGATTGCAGACTTAAAATGGACTGTGGTGTAATCATGACTTGAAAAGACAATGTTGCTAACTTGAAGTATGTTGCATATTTATGTTATGCAGTATGCATAACCTATGCATACTGGTGTTTTAAATGAATGTTTTTAATGCTATGCATGAAAACGAAATTGTTTCCATTTGAGTATTACGATTCAGTGCAATTGCTTTTAGAATTCCTCAAAATGACTAATAAATGCATTGATCAATGTTAATGTTATTTAATGCATTAACTAGCGTTAACAAATCTGACCTTATTTCTTATGAGTTACCTTCAAATTATCATAAAGTCTGAATATGTTTGATTTCATGCATGGAAATGAAATTGTTTCCATTTGAGTATTATGATCCAATGCAATTGCCTTAAAACAAACTCCAAAATTCCTCAAAATACAATCATTTGATCTGCTCAGTCTGTGTCTGTGTTGTTTAATTGATCGTGTTTCAGTAGCAGAAGCAGTAGATGGGTGTTTTTACTGATGATGATCTGAGGGGGTTTCTCTCAGTTTAGCTCCTCCTTACTCAGGCTTGGGTTTCACAATGCTTTTCTCCAGCTCTACTCTTGAGTTTCTGTGCAGACAGTGAAGCACCTCACGGGATCCTCAAGGAGTTTATTCATGTATGAGTTCATTCTGTGTTTTTTTTACTTGCTGCTGTTTAGTTCTGTTGCATCTATCAAGTATATGAAAACCGGGTGAACATTTATATGGGTGTTTTTACTGATGATGATCTGAGGGGGTTTCTCTCAGTTTAGCTCCTCCTTACTCAGGCTTGGGTTTCACAATGCTTTTCTCCAGCTCTACTCTTGAGTTTCTGTGCAGACAGTGAAGCACCTCACGGGATCCTCAAGGAGTTTATTCATGTATGAGTTCATTCTGTGTTTTTTTTACTTGCTGCTGTTTAGTTCTGTTAGTTCTCTTAGTCTATCAAGTATATGAAAACCGGGTGAACATTTATAACAGGATGCTGTGGTATTTTATTCTGGTGGATTCTATGTGAAGCTGATCTAAGTGAGAACTGCTTGAAGGAAATGAAGGCTCGAAAGGCAGTCATTCACAAGAACATCAAGGTGAGATTCATTTCATTGCATTCTGTTTCATTTTCTGGCTCAGTGGTTTTAAGTGAAAACTTAACATTAAAGCATTATCGTAACATTAAAATTGTAATGTTTTTTTTCTCTTGATTCTGTTGTTGTACTGCACATATATAATAATAATATTTTTAATATTTATATTACATTTTATTTATATACGTTTATTCATAAATACAATTAATTTCATTTAAACCCATTTTTAACCCATTGCAATGCACACTGAAAAAAAAAAGTCTAAATTCTAATCTAAATTAGTTTTATTCAAAATATTGTAAATATTATTTAATATTGCTGAATGAACCCAAATGCATTCATTTACACCGACAATTTTTTTTAAAGGGTTAAATCAGGTAGAACAATTCTCTATAGATACAATTCTATATATTTCTATATGCAGTACAACAACAGATATATGTATATACTAAATTATTGTGAAATCATGCATTCAGTCTTTAATCGTTGATAAATGACTGTTGAGCTCTTTTATTTGGATTCACGCTGGCTTAATTTAATTCCTAATGAAATTTTAAAACGAGTTTTAAGATATCCTTAAGGAATGCAAAAGGAATTCTTGCATAGCTTGGAACTAACCCTGAAGACCTTGAGGAGTCTGTGCGAGAAAATAAACTTAAGATAGTTCAGTAAATCCAGGAGGATAGTGTTTGATTCCGTAGATGCCATAGATGTTACAAATTATGATTGATATTGTATTGAAATTACTTTAAGTGTTGTAGCTCAAGCAATAGCGGACTGTGCTTGCGACACCAAGGTCATGGGTTTGATTCCCAGGGAATGCATGAATTGATCAGTTATAAACATTAAATGGATAAAAGCTTCAGCCAAATGCACGCATGTGAATGTTTTTGTGATTCCGTGTTTCAGCACTAGAGGGCCGTGAAGGCTTCAGAAGCGGGCATCATGGGCTCTTCTTGGATGGGCCTGATGCTGATGCTGCTGGTCAGTTTTCGTGGCTCCAGCGGGGTTTGTCCGCGGCAGTGCATCTGCTCTGCTCCCGCAGAAGTGCACTGCACCTTCCGTGCGCTCCTGACCGTTCCCACGGGCATCTCCAGACAGGTCCAGCGCATTAACTTTGGGCAAGTCATGGCAGAAACTGGAGGTTTATCATAGGATCATGTATCTGAAATATTAAGAGTGCACGCGTTTTACCTTTTGGAATCAAAACTCTTTATAATCTTGACAAAATACATATCGTCGGAAAGGTCTGAGTCTCAAGATTTCATTTTTTGTGACAGAAGTAATACTGAGAGATAAATTTATACATTTGTGACAGAAAAATGCATTAAAAAACTCAGTGGAGTTTGGATGGCACCTGGTGGCTGTTTGAGGTATAACACCTAAACAAAATTGCATAGGAACCTCAACTTTTTTAATATCAACTTCAAATTTGGAACATAACTCATTTAGACTTATGGCTTTAATCTCATATCAAATTTGGATTCAAACCAATTTTGTAAAATATTTATTTTATATAAAATAAAATCAAAATAGTACAGTACATTTTCTTTACAGTAAATTTAAACTTCTATAATTTTTATGCTTTCATTTTTTTGCAGTGATTTCACTTCTGCAATGATCTGCTGATTGTCTTCTTTAAAAAATAGATCAACCTTATGTCTGTATTCAAAAGCGTTCATGATGATTGGGGGGGGGGTGACAGTTAAGAGTTAAACCATTTTAAACATTTAAAAGTCAGTTTCTGTACAGGCTCAAACCTTAAAGTCTTGATTTAAAAAAAAAACAGTAAAGAGTTAATGTAACACTCATTGACACTATATGGGGTAAGTTGTCACATCTGACTAACTGTTATAAGAGGTGCAAGACAAATCTCAACAGATTGCACAGCGAAAATTGCTTTCAGCAAAACTTAAACTAAAGCAATTATTAGATTTACTGAAGAAATTGAGAGTAGTTCTATTCAAGCAAACGTGTTCTGGTATTCTGGTCTCAAGATAATATCTCAGGTCTCTCGTGTATGTAAAAATCATGAGTCTCGCAAACTTTAAGACTTTAATACTTAGTGTTTATGGTGTGATCACAGGATAGAATTTAAAAAAATGGCATTATTAGACAGCTTTCAACCACATATTTGAAATCAACATGCAAAGAGAGAAAATAAGCTTTTGTATCGTGATTTTTTGCTCAAAGGCACACAGTTGCTGAGATATTGTAGACCTTGAGACAACTTCTCTTTGACAACTAGCCCCGGCCTTCCATACTATATATGTGTACATAAAAATTAAGCATTTATATTTATGCATTTAGTAGACGTTTTTATCCAGAGTGAGTTACAAAAGAGGAACAACAATATTTGTACACTTCAACATAAAGAAATAAACACAATGGTAACTATGCCTTTGCTCTCTAACAGGTTTAACACTATAAATCACATCACAGACGTCTCCTTTGCTGGCCTTCGAAAACTAGAGCTGCTCATGATGCACGGCAACAACGTGCAGAAAATACCTGATGCTGCTTTTCAGGATCTGGTTTCATTACAGGTAAAATCACAGTCATCTGGTGAAGCACAGTAGAAGTCCTTCATGTACGTAGTTCTAATTAGTTCTAACTTAAAAAGATTCAAAGTAAAAGTGACTATTAGATTTCAAATGTTAAACAGACTACAGCTGTAAGCGATGCACTGTTTTTTTGTCAAAATGACTCAGTGAGTTCACTGTGTTTCCCGCAGGTTTTAAAAATGAGCTACAACAAACTGCGAGTCATTACCGGTCACACCTTCTCTGGTTTGACGGCTCTTGTTAGACTCCATCTGGACCACAACCGCATCGAGTTCATCCACCCGGATGCATTCAGTGGCCTGACCTCACTGCGTCTGCTCCATCTAGAGGCCAACCATCTGCAAAAGCTCCATCCTGCTACATTTAGTACGTTCTCGCTGCTGCGGCGTTTTTCTGTGTCTACGCTGAAGCATCTGTATCTCTCTGAAAACCTCCTCAGCTCGCTGCCCAGAAACATACTGGAGAGCATGCCGCAGCTGGAGAACCTCTTCTTATACGCAAATCCGTGGAGTTGCGACTGCCGGATGAGCTGGTTACAGAACTGGAGCGCACGAAATCCAGGTTATTAAACTGTTTCTGAGTGCTTCAGATGATCGTTGTCCAGATGTCACACTGTATAAACTTAGATATCGTATATCAGTATTAACTATATCTGAATTTCCTGTTTGTGCAGCAGTAGTTGAATAGTGTTGAGGTTTGAGGTCAGCTCAGGTTGTCTTTTGGTTCTGTTTTCATTCAGAATTCAGAATGCAAATAGATTGCAATTTATTTTTCTAAAGAACTTCTATTATAATAAAAATAATATTTATGTGTGTGTAAATATATACATGTATGTGCGTGTTTGTTTGTGTATATAACATCATCTGAAAGCTGAATAAATAATATTTCCATTGATGTATGGTTTGTTAGGATAGGACAATATTTGGCCGAGATACAACTATTTGAAAATCTGGAATCTGAGGGTGCAAAAAAAATCAAAATATTAAGAAAATCATCTTTAAAGTTCCAAATGAAGTTCTTAGCAATGCATATTACTAATCAAAAATTACATTTTGATATATTTACGGTAGGAACTTTACTAAATGTCTTCATGGAACACAATAAATCAGCATATTAGAATGATTTCTGAAGGATCATGTGACACTGAAGACTCTAGTTATGGTTGGTGAAAATTCACTTTGTCACTACTGCAATAAATTATATTTTAAAATATACTAAAATAGAAAACCATTATTTTAAATTGTAAAAATATTTCACAAAATGATACTGTTTTTAATGCATTTTGATCAAATAAATGCAGCCTTGATGAGCATAAGATACTTATTTAATAAACATCAAAAATCGTATTAATCTCAACCTTTAGAACAGTAGTGTGTGTATATACAGTATATACAAGTATGTTTAGTATTTATATTTTAACAAATGTATTTTAGATTTAAAAAAAAAAAATATCTGCTGTTGTTTCTGTTTGGGCCTCTGACTTTTTTTTCCAAAAAATTAAAAAGATCAAAATTAGAGATGTTTGAATATGTAGAACACTGAGTGAAGAACAAATTCTATCTTCTGAAGTCTGGATTTGTTTCGTTTTCCTAGGAGTGATGAAATGCAAAAAAGACAGATCGTTTTCCAGCGGTCAGCTCTGTCCACTATGTGCATCTCCTAAACACCTTAAAGGACAAGATATCTCAGATGTCAAAGAGTTCGTCTGCTCTGGACCAGCTATCAGCTCTCCAGGAAAGAACGTCTCACAAGAGGACAACATGAGTGAGCTTCTGCCCATCGACAGGATCAAACCACCGTTTGGAAACGTCTCCCTTGGTTTATCCGACGAGCATGGGACTAAAGTTGACTTGATCTGCCAAATACTTGAACCAAGAGAATCCACTAAAATCAGCTGGAATTATACAAAATCTCTGGAGATCGCTGCTAAAGTAACTCTCTTCTTTGACCTGGAGTGTCCTGTGGACAGAGACAACTATGAGAGCTTTTGGAGGCTTCTTGCGTACTATAGTGATGTGCCTGTGCATCTGCGAAGGGAAATCATGCTAAGCAGAGAGCCGGAGCTAAGCTACAGATACAGACAGGACATCGAAAGGGATGCCTATTTTTACACTGGTGTTCGAGCTAATGTTGTAGCCCGTCCATCTTGGCTCATGCAGTCCTTCATGAACATCAAATTAAACAGGCCTTATTCCTCCTCCAAGAGTGTGAGACTCATTCTAAACACTCATTTGACTACCACCACAGATAAGGAGCCCATCAAATCTTGGGTCATGATTGAACATGACAATAAAACCCAGACGAGCTTCAGTTCTGTTGTGGGTGGTGCGATTGAAATGGACTGCCGTGTGCAAAGCTCTGGAAACGCAGCTGTTCACTGGATGGCGCCAGATGGGTCAAAGATTAAAGCTGCGTTCGGCTCGACCGACAAAAGAGTGAGCGTTTCTAGCAGCGGCAAACTTCACATTAAATCTGTCGAGCACAGAGACTCTGGAGTTTATTATTGCATTGCTGAGGTTGCAGGAGATATTGATGTTCTGCCTTTCCGTTTTTCCGTTATGGAGTCCTCAACCCCGCTTCCAGGTGAAGAATTTGGAAACGCTTTAACAAAGTTTGTTGGCGAGTCTGCATCTTTGCCCTGTCTTACTACAGCGACTCCAGACGCTGTGGTGAATTGGATATTTCCAGATGGCAGTGTACTGAATGCCAAAGCAAATACATCCAGGGCTTTAGTCTTTCCCAACGGGACTTTGTTCATTCCTTATAGTCAGCTTAACAATAATGGATATCACAAATGTGTCGCCATGAACCAACACGGTGTGGATGTACTGGCGACTAAACTAACTGTTATGAGGCGGAAAGGAATCCAGCCACTGCGACAGTATCCCATCAGGCCGCAGTCTGCCGCGGGAGTGTCCACTAAGGTAAAAGCCTATTTGGAGGATGTAGAGGAAGCTTCCGGAGATGAAACTCAAGAGAGAGTTGTACCAAACAGAAGCGTTATTAATCGAAGGAAGGGTCCAAATGCAAGAACGCAAGGGCGTTCTTTTGGCAACATCCACCATAGGCGACCCTTTAGAAAGGGCATGCATGGACAACCAAACAGAACTGGCTTAACAAACCAAAGAACTGTTAATACCAAGAACAATATAGACCCTCAGAAGTGGGCCGTTCTTTTGGCCAAAATCCGTGAGAAAACCTCTCCGAAGAACTCATCAGTTAACATTGTCCAACATGGCACTGCAGAGATGGTGAATGTAGATCATCCGGGGTCGATTGACAACATTGAGAGTTCTTCTGGAGTCTCCAGTCCAAAGGAAGAGTCAAACACTTTCAGCACGCCACACCAAACGGATGTTTACCACAGGCATGCAATTACACCTCATATCAAGGGACAAAATAATAACGTATACCTAACGGCTCCTCCAGAATTACAAACTAGCTCAGACGAGGTGCCTTACATCTCAAATCCCACATCTGGACCCCATTATGTTATGACAGAGGTGAATGTTGTAGAAAGAGGCCATGTGAGCACCATAAGTGCCGAAAATGACCAAGTATATTCCGGGTCTGTCATCAAACCGGAGTCTGAGAATGAAAATGAGCTAAATTTCTCCGGAAAGACCGGCGTCCAGTCACAGATTGGGGGTTTTGATTTTGGACAGCCTGACAGCAGTTCATTTGCTACCATATCAAGCCCACGTGCTTCACCAAGTTCAGCGCCGTCCAGAGCAAAAGATCATTGGAGCTCCAGGAGAAGATTTGGAGGTAGGCGACGAATAAAATTGAGAAGGCCGTTCTCAAAGCTTCCGACAAGAAGACGGTGGTCAACCTCTACAGCTGCAGGAGTTCATGTTCCAACTTTGAAATCAGATCCGACAAGCCCAGCTGAAGACGCAATGATCCATCCAACTTCTACAACTACTGCTCACATTTACTCCAGAACCCCATCTGGAGACACATTGATCCATCCAACTAGTACAACCACTGCTCACATTTTTTCCACAAATCAAGCTGGAAGCTCGTCAATCCATCCAACTATCCCAGTAACCGCTCACATTTACTCCACAACCTTAGCTGAAAGCACGTCGCAATATCTGACTACTACTCCCACTTATCCTACTGCGCTGAGGGTATTCCCAAATGCCATTAATGAGGAAAACACCATCTCCCTCCCGGATGAGAAAACTGGTTCAAAAATCCACAAAGTAAAGGCAAGCAATTTCCTCCAAATCCAACAGATGCCTCCAAACTCTAGAAGCCCATCTGCATCTCCCCCCATGAGCACAATATCAGAGTTAGAGAATGAAGACATTACTCCTTTCGAGGAGGAAGAGGACAGAAGCATTGCATCTGCAGAGGAGATGGATGAGTACTCGGTTCCCACGAGTGTAGATCCGACATCTCGACTTGGCGTTGAAACCATTTCACTGACAACTGCCCAGCAGGATTTCTCAGGCATGCTTTCAACAGCGTTACCAAAGGCCAACAAAGAGATTCATCCAACAGAGATCAGCTTTACTTTGGACACAGACGGGCTGGATGTCTTCCACTTACCTGAATCACACTTCAGCAATGTTCTAAGAGAGAATTATACATTGGAAGTAAGTTCTACAGAAGAATTTTTAGTCACCTCCATGCCACGACCCCAAGACTACCCACTTTCAATTACAGTTACACAACCAAATGAAAGCTTTAAAGAAGAAGAATCCATTCACAACCAAGTGTCTTTTCCTTCAACACCAGAGACACTTACAGAATCCATAAAATCTGTTGGGAGACAAACCGAGTCTTTAGCCACAAGTTCACCATCGCCTACTCTTACTACTCAAACCAATGAGATTTACTTCTTACAACCAAACTCTGTTTCTAAGCAAGACCAGAGGGAAAGGTTAGTCCATGGACTCGATGAACCTTTGATTCCTCCTACATCTCTGAATACTTCGCCCACAATTACATTACCAGCAACTACAGCCATAATTCCCATTACAACCCAACTCATTGGAACAACAACAGCACCTACTACACTGTCGACAGCTGCTACTACTACTGGGCTTTCTTCGACTACTTCAGCTACTACGATGACGACTACTACTACTACTACTACTACACCTGCTATAAAGTCAACACTTAGTTATCTCTTACCAGACAATAGAATCCCATTTCACTCAAGAAATCCTGGAACGAACTACATTGATTCCAGGCACAGGGGAAGATTTCCCAGCACTAACCACAGGTATCCGTACTATAACAGTAGAAATCCTTCTGTGAATATTAGACCTAATATTATCAGAAAACCTTCCGTCACCACCTCACCTGTGGATTTTAACTCTCTCACCAACGTCAAATCAACTACTACACCTAAGATATTGACAGCAACTGCTCGATCTGCTACCTCGAGTCCCACAACTGCGTCAAGCACCACACAGCCAAACAACCAAATTCAGATCGATGAACCAGTGAACAGACAGTCAGGTGCAGTTCTGTTTCCTCAAGGACCGCAAATGAGGCCCAGGATCACTGCTGCCAAACTCCACACAGTCACTGTGAATGCTGGGACAGATGTGCAGTTACCATGTGATTCTGTGGGGGAGCCGAAACCCCTCCTGACCTGGACCAAAGTCTCCACAGGTAACTCACAATATGACATGACAAGTAGTTACAGTACATTATATGCAGGACTTGGAGTATAATTTTAATGCATAAACCTTGATATATTTTACAATAGAAGATAAATGTGTTTTTCTTACAGGCTTCCCTAAAGGTGATGTGTGTTTTGTTTTGCTTTATTTTATTTTGTTTTATTTAATTTTATTTTACACGTTGCAGCACACACACGCATATATATATATATATATATATATAATTTGACACTTTGTTTTCATATTTGTTTCGCTCTCTCTTTCTCTTTCTGCACTACTTGTCATACACCATATACACTACTTGGCATACACCATACATAAAAAAATATATATATTAAAATGTAAAGATATTATATGTTATTATATTAAAAATATATTTTATTACACAGACTAGGCAGAGATTATGTAAAACTAACAATTGTGGTATTTGTGCACAACACCTGTGCTTACAAATTCGTAGCGTATTTAATTATACTATTTTTCTGTATATTTTTATTAATAAGTTCTGTATATTTTTCTATTAATTTATTTGACTTATTTGTTTTTAATATAAATTGTATATTGTTTTTTAAATCAATTTGATGCATTTATTTATTATTTACTTTCAATCACTGTGTGTGTGTGTGTGTATATGCTATTACTTTACAATATATTAATTATATTATAGAGACTAAACAGGTTATGTAAAGCTAACAATATTATTGGTGTTTTTGTACAACCTCTGTGCCTACAAATTTAAAGCATCTATTATATTTCTAAATTCAAATTTTTTTTTTTTAAACGTTTGTTGTCTTATTTGTTTTTTTTTATGTATATATAAATTTTGTATTGTTTTTTTATTTTTATTAATTTGACACCTTTTTATTTGTTTTCAGTTTCTATTCTTTCTTTGTATATATGTGTCTAAATGACTACAAGCAGCTTTTCATTGGTTTAAATTCATTGAACTCTCCACAGGAGCCGTCATATCAACAAATACCAAAATCCAGCGATTTGAGGTCAAGTCCAATGGAACGTTTGTCATCCACAGCGTCCAGCTTCAGGACCGCGGGCAGTATCTGTGCAGCGCTCGCAATCCACACGGCATTGACAAGATGATGGTGACCCTAGTGGTGTTGGCCCACGTGCCCAGAATGATGCCTCCACGTCATAAAGATATAACAGTCTATCTCGGAAACAGTGCTTTCTTGGAATGCCAAGCACAAGGCCTCCCCATCCCAAACATCAGCTGGGTGCTTCCGGATCGATCGGTGGTGCGAGCCATTAATAACAGCGAACAGAAGGTCATGCTCTTCACCAATGGAACGCTTCAAGTCAAAAACACCAATTACCTGGACAAGGGCGTCTACAAATGCATCGCGAGCAACACCGCTGGAGCCGACATGCTTTCCGTGAGGCTACAAATCGCAGCCTTGCCTCCCACAATCCAAGAGCAGCTCTGGGAGAACTACACCGTCTCTGATGGCCAATCAGCGTTCATGCTCTGCACCGCTAAAGCCACGCCTGATCCGACCATCCGCTGGGTCACGTTTACCGGCATGCAGCTTCGCCCCTCGCAGTTCATCAATGGCAATTTGTTCGTTTTCCCCAACGGGACGCTGTTTATCCGCAACCCTGCAGAGAAGGATTCTGGGAATTATGAATGCGTGGCTGTGAATTCGGTGGGTGTTGCTAAAAGGACTGTGAATCTGCAGGTGAAGAAAAGCTCCACTACCACCAGAATCATGTCCACTTCTACACACAGTACTGATGTCCGCTACGGAGGTCAGCTGAGTCTCAACTGTTCGGCCACTGGAAGCCCCAATCCCAGGATCACCTGGAGGACGCCGTCTAAAAAACTGGTTGATGCATATTACAGGTAAAAGAATTGCATATTACTACATTTTCATTGGGGATGCAGCGAAATCGAAGCCGTTAACGAACAAAATGAAACACTGGGCCGAATACTGAACGTTTTTTTTTTCCCCATGTCAATTTTTTTTTTACCATTGCATAAATTAAATAGCCTAAATGTGCTTTTTACTGTTGCTTTTCAAAGACAAATTCAATTACAGAACAACAATTTAAAAATATTTATGTAACACTGAACATTTTTAACATTCTAGCAGACATTATATCAACAAAGCACAATTTAACTTAAAATTAATAAGTTAGTAAAACAATATTTGTTGGCCATTTTTTGAAAACCCCTCCTTGAATCAGGCATGCATTTTTACTGTACAAATAAATGCAGCCTTCACTGTAAAAAATAAATCAAAAGTTGAGAAAACTTAAACGTTTAAGGCAACCAGCTTCAGGAGATTTTTGAGTTTTCACAACTTGTTTTTGTAGGAGATTTTTGAGTTTTCTCAACTTTTTGTTGTATAAACTGAATACAAGAAGTTGAGAAAACTCAAAAGTGCCCTGAAGCTGGTTGCCTTAAACTTTTACGTTTTCTCAACTTTAGATTTTTTGCAGTGTTGCTGAGCAGAAGGGACTTCTTTTAAAAGACTAGAAAATATTACAGATCTCAATTTGAACACTATGGGCACCACACATATGGATTTTACTGTCTCTGGCTCTCTTTGGAATTATTTTGAATCTCTCCATATACACTGTTGGTTAAAGAGCATGATTAACCGAATAGCAAAACAACATGACGTGTAATTAATTTCAGAGGACAGAAGAAACTAAATGGATACAGAGGGAAGACAAAAAGAACATTAATCAAATGCAGAGAAGAAAGCATAGTTCTTCTGAATTAACAATTTTTTGCCCAAAATCATCATAAGCCTAAATTAGCAACCGTGAACACCAATGGTCTGTATGATCTGCTTTGGCTTATGATGCTTTTGGGAAACACAGCCTTGATTAGTAAATATGTGGTTTTGGCACAATTGCATTTTTTGTTACGCTTTGATAAAACGTCATGTGGTGTTACTAAAACAGAAATCCTTTTATATATGTGCAGCTTTACAGATGTACAAATAGGCATTGCTGACGTGTAAATGTGGGCTGTAGTTTGCTTATATTTGGTGTTTCTGACACTAGAAATCAAGGATTTCAGAATGTCTTTTTTTTGTTTGTTTGTTTTCATTAGAATGAAGTTTTGAGTTCTTAAAATAATTATCTTGATATGAACCAGAGCTCAAACAAATTTTAATGGACTGTTATATTTCTGCTCCCATGAGAATATTGGTTTGCTCTGGTTTTTAAATAAGTTAATCCAAATTTAGTTTTATAATTTGTAGGAAAAAATGGATCTTAACTCTTTCCCCACTAGCGTTTGTATGAAAAAGTTGCCATTATTGATCATTTTTACAAAATGTTCATGGCCCACAGAGTAATTTGAATATCTGAACATGCAATACGTCAAAAGAAAGAACTCAATTTAAAATTTAAATTAATTAATTTAAATTAAAAAAAGTTTTTTTTTTACTTTTTCTAGCTTTATGCATTCTTTTTTTTTATCAACACTTGAATGTGGGCAAGTTTCATAATTTAAAAAAAATTATAAAAACATTTTTAACAAAAAGCTGAGCAAATGGCGTTTTTGTCAAAGGCTATGTTCGGATTGGATTTAGATCGATGATAAAAACAGATGAAGTCGATCACTTCCATCAACACCCCCAAAGCTTCACAGTACTAAACCACTTCCTGGGTCAACATTTAATTCAGTAACTTTAAGCAGGTTTGTTTTATATGCTGTTCAATGTTTGATGATCGTGTTATTTTGCATCAGTTTCTGCTGCTTCTTCACCGTGTTTTGGTCCAGGGATTCAGTACTCTTTTAGAAAATGTGCAATGGCGCCCCCTACTGTACACCAGTGAAAACACAGAAAAACTGAAAATTCAGTCAATGGCGGGGAAAGAGTTTTTAGTTCTATTCCAACTTTTAATAGCTCAAGTATGGTTTTTGCCATGACAACAGCGGACAAAAAACTGGCATGGTGTTAAAAAACAAGCAAACATGATATGAGCCCTTTAATAAATGATTTCAGAGTAAGTCGTTTTTTTGCATTTTTGTTGCAATAAATATTGCTTTTTCCACTGGAAGGAAGTTTTGAGTTCTGAAAGTATTTTTTTTCCCCCATTGTGCAATGAACTCTTTAATCTCAAAAGATCAAGGAAAATTTGATTCCTCAAATTATAATAAATGATACGTTTACTAGTGTCACACTTATCAGAATGTAACCTCTTTTTATCCCTCGTTTCAGCTTTGATCGCAGAATGCAAGTGTTCGGCAACGGCACGCTCACCATCACGTCAGTGACCGAGAAGGATGAGGGCAACTATCTCTGTGTGGCCAGAAACAAAAGGGGTGATGACTACGTCCTCCTTAAAGTCAATGTGATGATGAAAGCGGCTAAAATCGACCACAAGTCACTGAGCGATCACGAGGTGTCGTTCGGAGGAGAGCTGAAAGTCGACTGCGTCGCTTCTGGTCTTCCTAATCCAGAAATCACGTGGAGTCTCCCAGATGGTACCAAGGTCAACAGCATCCCTCAATCTGACGATAACGGGGTTCGCGCCAAGAGATACGTGATGTTCGATAACGGCACACTATATTTAAACGAAGTTGGAATGAAGGAGGAAGGCGACTACACGTGCTACGCCGAGAATCGGATTGGGAAAGATGAAATGAAGGTTCATATCAAGGTGGTGGCGGATGCACCGATCATCCAAAACAATGTTTACAGCATCGTCAAAGTTCCTTACGGAGAAACCGCCGTCCTTAACTGCAGCGCCAAAGGAGAGCCAACTCCCATAATCACATGGACGTCTCCGGCTCATCGCGCCATAGTGCCAGTTTCCCACAAATACCAGATCGCCAACGATGGAACTTTGCGCATTCAAAAAATCCAGAGGTTTGACAGCGGGAATTATACGTGCTCAGCTAGGAACGTTGCGGGAATTGACAAGAAAGTCGTTCACGTTGAAGTCCTTGTGTCAACGCCGGTTATAAACGGATTTGAGAGTCTTGGGGTCGTTCGTAAAACTGTCGTAAAGGATCAGCGCGTGCTTTTAGACTGCAAACCAAACGGAAACCCAATTCCGAGGATCATATGGGTGTTTCCCAACAACATTGTGCTTCCAGCGCCGTACTACGGCTTGAGGATTACGGTCCATCGCAACGGCACGCTGGACATCCACGCGGTGCGGAAAAGCGATTCTGTCGCGCTTCTTTGCATCGCACGTAATGAAGGAGGAGAAGCCAAACTCCAGGTTCAACTCGAGGTGACCGAAGGAGTTGAAAAGCCACGATTGCGAAATCCACCTACAGAGTCCGTCCAACTCTCCGACGGGATAATAAATCTAAATTGTTCCGTAGAAGGAAAACCGTCACCGGAGATCACTTGGATTCTCCCGAATGGGACGTCGCTTCTTAGGGGAACTAGTATTTTCCGTTTCCATCATCGATTTGATGGGACTTTGGTTATTCGAGACCCGTCGGTTTCGGAGATCGGATGGTATCGATGCGTCGGGCGCAACAGCGCCGGATACGTCGAGCGAACCGTGACATTAGAGTCCAACAGAAAACCGGAAATCACTAACAAGTACAGCTCGCTCGTCAGCATCATAAACGGCGAGAATCTGCATCTCAACTGTTTGTCCGGTGGTCAACCGTTACCCAAACTTACCTGGACTCTACCGAACGGAGTCGTCCTAACCCGGCCGCAAACAACCGGACGATATTCGGTCCTAAACAATGGCACTCTTGCCGTCCAAAGGACGTCTGTGTACGATAGAGGGATGTACCTCTGCCAAACGACTAATGAGCATGGATCGTCCAGCCTGTCGGTTTCGGTGATCGTAATCGCGTATCCGCCGCGGATAACCAAAGGACCCTCGCCGGTGACTTACGCTAGTCCAGGTGTGGCCGTTCAGTTAAACTGCATTCCTCTCGCTACGCCTAAAGCCGAGGTGGTTTGGGAAATGCCTGACGGTCTTCAGCTGAAGGTTGGCATCCAGCCGCGACTTTATGGAAACAAGTATCTCCATCCGCAAGGTTCACTGGTCATTCAGAACCCTTCCAGCAGAGACAATGGCGTTTATAAGTGCACCGCCAAAAACGTGATCGGTAGCGACAGCAGATCAACTTACGTCTATGTGTTTTGATGCAAACTAACTTTACAGACAAGCCCGAAGAACTGCATTAAGACTGTTCGTACAAAAATATATATCATCTTTTGGAATCACTTTCTACTGACTCTTGTAAATATGAAAGCGTGATATTTTAATCCCCTTCAAATGAAGCGACTCTGGAGTATATGTACGTTAATGGATGTTCATTAACGCTCTTTGGAAAGTAAACTGATAATCAAGCTCGCATGGAATTTGCACCAATAGAACTCTGCAAAATTCACTAAATTCTACACATGCTTGTTTGTTTATTTGGTAACACTTTACTTAAAGCCTTTATGTATAATGCATTATAAAAGTAGTTTTAATGCATCCCTTGTAATGCACCTTATAATGCATTGCCAGTTAACACTTTATAACACTTATAAATTCATTGTTACACTATGCATTTTAAATTTGGTAATAATTTACAACGCACATTATGAATAATTATAATGCATTATACCCCTTAATAACCCTTTACAATGCATTATACATAAATGCTTTAAGTAAAGTGTTACCATTTATTTAATATCTTTGCTATTTATATTGTGCTTTTAGTTATCAAGAAGCATAAGCTCCATTTAGCACATTTTACCATGATTAATTTAATTGGTAATGCTTTACAATAAGGTTCAGATTGCCAACTGCATTGAACATCAGCTAAGATGATTGATTATATGATTTAGAATTTCTATTATTATTAGTTTAATTTTATAATTTACTAATATATTATTGAAATCAAAAGTTGTATCTCTTAATATTATTTAACGCACCTGAACTAACATGAACTTACAGTGAACAGCTGTTTTAATTAACACTGAGAAAGATTAAATAAATTATGTAACAAATGCATTGCTCATTGTTGCAGTGGGACTAACTAATGAGATTTTTTGGAAAGTGTAACAAATTCATTCATAGAATCCTGCAGATTTTTGCCCCTACATTATTTTCACATTTTACACGCATTCATTTAGCAAATGCTTTTTTCAAAAAAAAAAAGAAATTTTTTGAAAATATAGTGAAAATGTTTTATTAAATCAGGGATTCCTTCCAGTGCATATTATTAAGTTTTCTTTTTTCTTTTGTCACATTAACAATGATGTTGCACTTCTGAGGTTGAGAAACTGTGGTCGTTCTCACCTCAACACTGTGCCAAGAGCTGATTTAATACACGAATGAAGACAAATCTGTTTTTGGATCTGTTCATTCCTTCTCTGTGTATCATCTTTCATTTATTTTAATTAATTATTTGTCTTTTTTGTCTAAAAACTAACTCACACCCACAATTTTATTATTTATAAACACAGCAAACAGTACTTTGGACTGGCTTCATTTTTAATAAATACTGTTTTCATAATTCTTTAGTAATTTGTAAACATATGGTGCTTTAATTTTACCAAAAAAAGCAAATTGTAGCACGTTTTTAGCTAAAGAACTACATTTATATGATTTTATTGCTAATTTAATTTGACACACATATACTGTACTATAGTATTATGTCTACTACTTCTATATATAAAGTACAATGCACACTCTACTATGCAGTATATTTTTCCCCTCAATGTTTTTTGTCAAACTGTATAGTGTGGTGGTCAAGATTGACAGCACTATTTGGGATTTTTACATCAGTCTTCTCGTGTGACGCCTTTATTAATATGATTTTGAAATTATAACACAGTCCTTAAAGGAATAGTTCAGCCAAAAATGTATATTTGCTGAATTTGTTCTCACTCTCAAAATATGCTTTGTACCTTACAATGTTCTGATAATCACCATAACAACACATAATAATATTTAGACCTAAATTTAAATTATTTCTATTTATATTTCCATGCATTTTGCGTTACACATAAACAGACTAATAAACGTAATGTGATGCATATTTGTCAGTCAGTAACTAGCTTTGTATATTTATCATCAGTAAATCCAATTTCAGTCAATCTCATAGATTGTAACTAATTGAATATTGCTTGTTTCACAGCTATAGTCATATTTTAACCATGCTCATGCTTTTTAATTGAATAAATGTAATTGTTTTTGCAATTAATATGATTATGCTGATTCAAAGCTGTTTGCATAAATGCATTTTGAAAATATCATTATTTAAATAAAACAAATAGATGCATAGTAATATGCATGGATACATATTTAAATAATAAACACTACAATGTTTTCCAGAGTGCAGACATCTTGTTTCATTGACGTATGAATGACAAATATGCATAACATTAAGTTTATTTGTTAAAACTGTGTCCAAATGCATGGACATTTTATATGCAATTCAAATACATAAATCTTGAATTTAAGACAAAATATTTTTTGAGTCACAAGTTCATTGTAAGTGGCTTGCCCATAAAACATTGCAGATATTCATATATAGACAATAAACATTAACTAAATGACAAAACCCCCTAACGTATATTACTGAAAACAAAAACAAGAAACAAAACTATTTATAGGACATAGCTTTTTCTTACAAAAATCATACATTTGACAGTATTTTATAGTAAAATTGCATATAATGTCATGTTAAACCATGTTTCACTGTATAAGTTAACCAGTTAACAGATTTTTGCTGCACCATAAAAAAATATCTAAATATAAATGATCTTGTATCTCATTAATTCTGAGTTATTTCAGATGTCTTCACAATTAAGGACAAACTGGGGAATTGAATGAGACGGCAATAACTGGCTTTTGTCCTATTTCTCCTTTTCCATTCCCAGAGTGCATTTCTCTTCATATTTAATGATTTATAAACAGCCGCTCGATCACAGCTAACCTTGACTTGAAGCAATAGTGACGACAACAGCTGTCAGGTTTATTATAGACTGTTGTAACTGGTTTATATGCTTATCTCAGTTCCATATGTAGAGCGATAAAACATACATTTACTGAAAACAATTAGACTGTTTGCATATCTCTTTATAATAAGTCATAATTGAAAGAAATGAGTTCCCAGCTCTTACAGGTTCATGTCTAAACCAGCCTGAAGAGTTCTGATAGTTTAAAAATCATGGATTTATGGTTAATAAGGTCAAAAAGCAAGAGTCCAAGAGGAAAAGCAGCTGTTTCTGAGTCACACGTCTCAGATTTATGTCTCGTTCCTCCCAAAATCCTGCCCTAAAGTTTGCTACACATCTCTGAAGCTTCATTAAGTCTCGTTAGTTTACTGGATAGATGGTTTTCCAGCTTCAGCTGATCTCAAGGCTTCTCATGGCTTTATTGCACTACAGATCTATATTATTTACAGTCAAATGGCAAGTAATGCTAAATAATAATAATATGTGATAGTGATTTTGTTGTACTTCAAGTCAGCACCTTTTAGGGAGGGAAAAATCATTAAATACATGCAGACAGACGTGCTTTTACAGTACACATGCAAAAGGTGATTTTCTCTTGCATTTTTATTGTTTCCTATGCAGTACAAATGTCTAAATATTCTTAAATCAAGACACATTTACTTGAGAAGCAAAATGGCTTATGATAATTAGTCTTGTTTTCTGAAAAACGTATCAATATAAACTTATTTTATGCCTGAATTGAGAAAAAAATATCGGTAACACTTTACATATAATGCATTATAAAAATATTTTTAATGCATGAACGATGCAGCTTATTAATAATGCATTGTATGATCTCATGAATAATTGCAACCACAGTCATAATACATTGTTTCACCTTTAAAAATCGAATGCATTAAAACACACGACAAACAACGAATTTCAGATGCAACAAGAAATCTGCAAATATTATAATGCATTTTAACTTTGACTACAATTATTTATGAAAACATATAATGCATTACAGCATACATAATGAACACCTTTATGGCTTCAAGTAAAGTGCTATGAAAATATCTGCCAATGTTGTAAGAAAAATGAACTTAACTTGAGTTTATTTTTCTAACACCATTGGCAGATTTATTTATTTTTTTCATTTTTATTGCATAAACTCACTTCATTTTGATTCATTGTCTAAGAAAACAGGACTCTTTGTGTCATTTTGCTTTGCAAGTAAATGCATCTTGATTTACGAAGCTTTTATGTATATAATATACGTTATATATGCATGTATAATATATAATGCATTATAATATATATATATATATATGCATTATATAATGCATTTTAATAATAATATGTATTAAAAATATGACAAGCAACCAATTTCAGATGTAACAAGGTGCCTGCAAATATTATAATGCATTTTGACTTTGCATAAACTCACTTCATTTTGATTGATTTTCTAAGAAAGCAGAAAATGCTTTGCAAATAAATGCATCTTGATTTAAGAAGCTTTTATATATAATATACGTTATATATGCATGTATAATATATAATGCATTATAAAAATATTTATTGCATTATGCACCTCATAATGCATTGTATTATCTCATGAATAATTGTAACCAGTTATGATAAAAATTATAATGTATTAAAAATATGACAAGCAACCAATTTCAGATGTAACAAGGTGTCTGCAAATATTATAATGCATTTTGATTTTGTTTACAATTATTTATTAAATTATATAATGCATTGCAACGTACATTATGAACACCTAGTAAAGTGTCACCAAAGTATCTGTCAATGGAGTATGAAATTTGTTTAGTTTTCTGATGCCATTGCAGATATTTTTTTCCTTTTCTTAGCATAAATTTACTTCATTTTGAACAGCTTTCATAGAAAACAAAACTTCTTCCATCATTTTGCTTTTCAAGAAAACGTATCTTGATTTAAGGATGCTTGGATATTTCTCCTGTAAAACAAGACAAAGGGAGAAAATCAAAATTTGCAGTGTACAGTATTTTGTATATGATGCAGATAAACTACAATCTAAAATAAAATTCAATTAAAATCTGTCTTCCGGGAACTTTGTCATTTAAAGTCTGATGAGTTTATGATGTGGATCTGTTTGAATCTTGCAGCTCTTCAGTCTGATTCTCCGTCTTGAAATGATGACAGAATGTTTAATTATAGAAGTTATTAATGGAAAATATTGTTTGTCC